CTGCTGTGGTAGGAGTATCATATAACACACAGACAGCAGTATATGGTAGACAGAGCTATCTAGAATGCCTATTCTGAAAAATTGTTCAAAGTAAAGGACAAGAATCAATCAAGCAAAAACAAATCAGATTGAATATACAGCATGAATGCACAGAATGAACAGCTCAAAGTGATTTTTTTTCTAATGGCTGAAAGGGAGAAAAATCAAAGAGATGTACCAGAGATGGACAGGAGAGCTCCAGAAGAAAAGGCAAGGCAAAGAAAAAAAAGGTAGAAGAAGGAACGTAGGAAAAACAACAAAATAGATAAGACAGACTCAGAAGTCATTTGAATTGGATGAGGAAGATTTGAAGAACTTGCCTGAGTAAGCAGAAATCCAGAACAATAAGGTGGTTGTGTTTTAATAGCTTGCTGAGGATGAAGCGAGGAAGTGAATGCCCACAAGAAAAGGCACCAGATAAGGCAAAAATCAAAGACTGGTCAAGCTTCTAATCTTAATAACAGGGCCCAAATCATGTAACAGCTCACCTGAAGAAATGATGCCTGAGTGTGATATAAGATGCTTTGTGCCAGGTACAGAAAAGCAGCATCTGAACATAAGTGTACTTTATAACAGGAATGCATGTAGCAAGTGACAGTAAAAGGAGAGGAGGGGATGAAGTTCAAAGTGTTGTTTCCCCTTCTAGAAAACTGAGGCTGCCACCTTTAACTACTCTTCCTAACAGCACACCTAAAAAGTCTCATGAACAGCATGCTATCAGCACAGTGCATCTCCAGGAGCAGTCAGATTGTAATAGCTATTCATCAGAGCAGGACCAAACCATGGGAAGGCAAGGTGGACATAAGTAGTCAGCTGCTGCAATATCCAGTAACGAAAGACTCTAGTAATTACAACCACAATTAAGAACATCCCAACAGCATCATCTTCCTAATTCACATTACCCACTCATCCTCTTATTTCCATTATTACTCACATCTTACCTAACCAAATGTTATGGTGAGGACACAACATATGGATGTAGGTAAGAGACAACTGCAAGTACATTTGCTGTTAACATTATATTTTAGAATAAGAGAAGTGAAAGAAAACAAGCCTGCAAAAAAATTAGATTGCAAACATAGAAGTGAACAGAAAAGTTACTTTATTTAGCATTTATTTTCTTTCAAAAATCAAATTTACTTACTACCCTGGTAGATATGCTGACACAGTTTGGTATTTAGAATACACAAGGAAATCCTGGGCTTAATACTAGCCAGTGTAATGCACTGCAGGATCTAGTTTCTCTCACTCCTCCACTTCAGCCTCACTCTCCCAATTGCAGTTTCTAGTCACATCATTTCTTTCAAACTGACCTTGAGGTTTGACAGTCAAATCCAACGCTAGTCTAGATTTACAAATATGATAGAGTTTGAGAACAGGACACATCAGAGACCTTCCCCAACCAGACCCACTTAATCATGCTACAGAACACATAGCCACGAAAATAATTTCCATTTTGATGACATTCAACAAATCAACCAGCCTAAGCCAGTATGCATAGAGAAAAGAAGACAGCTCCCTCTACTGGGTGAGATAATGCAGCTCTTGGGTCCACCTCTCACCCTACAGAGACCATACTAGCACATATGTAAACTTCTGAGATTTACATACACATATTTGTAAGCCAATCCACAAATTACTACCTATTGCTTAGACTGCTCTATAGTTCCAGGAATTAAAAGCTTCTATAGTTTCTACTTTTAAAACCACAGGAAACAGCAATCTTCCCAAAGGTCTCTGAATGAGCCAGATGAGGTAACGTCCCATATGAAGGTGAAACACTTGGAAAACCAGAGTCCCTTATGTCAGTGTTCATTGAAAGCCCAGGTCTGGAAGCAGACAGTTCAGCAGCGTTATTCACAGTACGCAACTTAACACCTGACTTCTCCTACTGTTACTCAATTAAACCTTTTCTTGTACAGCTCTGCCTCAAGAGACAGTCCTTACCTTGTTTAAGGGAATGGCTGCAGCTTTCTGCCTGCATGAGGCTTCCTCACAACGGCTATGGCAGACAATTGCTAGCATGCATGCAGAACAAAGCGATGAAAGATCAGAGCGCAGGTCAGACAGCAGATCACAGCACAAAGGTAAAGCAATGATCAGTTTTCAAGTGTTTATAACAGGATCTCTTTGGAACACTACAGTGTTTTTCCTTTCTCAGTCAACTCGAGTGAAAAAAGGCTCAAAGACAGACTTTATTCATACAGCATTTGTGTTTTCCTTGCTGTAGTTCTCAAAACATTGAAAGTGGATAAGAACTGTCAGCACCATGCAGCAAGCCAGACTGCAGTAATTCCTATCAAAAGCAGTCAGGTCAATGGGCAGAATGCAAACCTGAAACCTCATGAATTCAAGTTCTTACTACATATTTTCTGTTGCAATTAGCTGAGTGAAACAAGTGTGATCTTGCATGCTCAAAAAGACTCTCTTCTGTAGGACTCTAGGATATCACCTCCATATTCAAAAGCCTGGAAAGACAACTGCAACTTTTAAACTATCACGGCAAGCCTCTACAGTAACACCAAATCTACCTGCAAAAAGAGAGCATCTTATCCAAATGAAAGCTCTTAATATGGTTTTCTGTTACTATCAATTCTCCAGGTACATTTGGAATGGTATTGCAAACTTATTTTGCATTGCCTATATCATTTGACCTAGAAGGTTAACAATGCTCAAAGCTTTTAACTTGGAGTTCCAAGAAAGCAAAGGGAAAGACAAGAAAAAGACAGCAAGAGCTTCAACATAAGCCCTCAACATCAAGGCACAGAGAACACAAAATTCCAGAGGTACAGCTCTGCAATTCCTCATAAAGGATGCAGGCAACATGACTAGGGAAGACTGCCTTCTGTACATCCTTTTCCCTGAAAGAAAAAAAAAGCCTTCAAAAAGAAACAAAAGCAGCCTGACCCACGTTCACAGAGTATAATAAACCAACTTTCTGTCCCTTGTTCAAGGCACGTGACAGGTAGTTTTTTTCCCCCCCACTGTTTTCACAACATTTAATTAAGTTTTCAGCCAGGCTTCTCAAACACAGAGAATCTTGTAGTTAAGATACATGAACACTACCATGAGAAAAGCAAACTTGGTGTCTGCTCAAAAGTATTTTTCAAATAAAACTGAACAGCAATCAAAGCATGACAGTACACCTCTGTGTTCCCTTGTCACCATCACTTAGTTTCTCTTGGCAAACACTTTCCCAGCCTCCAAACAACAATAATCACAATTTGTATTGAAAAAAATAAACACCTCAGTTTTTTTCCAACATTATCCACAAAGGGAGTAGAGCAGATGTGAAGAGGGCCTGCAGTCTACATGAAACAGACCATGGGTGAAGCTGGGAGGCTGACAGAGATGCTACAGTTACAACTTTGTGACTGCGATAGAGTGATCACAAGCACAGACAGACATTAGAAACCTTCTTACCATCACTGACAAGGAATGGAAAAAGAGTGAGCCTGTTCTTCTTATCCTACTTTCATTCTAGAACAACTGGGTCAGTTTGCATTTGATTTTTAACCAGAAAAGAAGAAAGAAGCAAATGGAAAGTCAAGAAATCTGAACTGTCTCCAGTTCTGCATGACAAGGACACTGAAAAAGCAGACAATAGAACAAGATGCCTTTTAACAGCAAATTGCCATTAAATATAGCTACTAGCATAGAAGATGCTTTCCATGCTCTGTCTGCTCCATAGACCTCTCTAGCCCTGCTTTTTGACTTACAATATTTTATCAATGCAGCTGCTGTCCAGGAGCAGCTCAGGTCAACCGTGACTGAAATACCCAGGGCTTTCAGCTGCCCTTCAGCTCTTCTGCTGCCAGGAGTTTCAGTAAGTGGGAGAGGTGAATGCACAGCACTGATAAGGCATCCTTGGAAAAGGGTGGCTATTCACTATACAATAAAACCTGGTCCCCCTGCATGCCTTGTTCAGAGTTCTCTCTGGGAGACCTAAGAGCCTCAGTTCTTTTCTGATATGAAATTCCAGAGGACAGAGAATGCATGTGGATAACACAAATCCCTGTTAGAAAGCAGTCGTTTTTACTTAAGTAAACGCACACAGGGCAAAGAATTCAAATGAAAAGATTAAAGAGTAAGGAAACTAGTTCAGAGGGTAGAGGCCTGATGCCCAACCTCTGCTCCCTGCCTTCACCTCAAAATAATCCCAGATTAGAGAAGTAAAATAGGATCTCATCAGGCGCAGGTGTTTCTTCCCTCACAGGCACAGATTCAGACTCAAAGCATTTGGACTGAGCCAGCAGTGACACCTTGCAATGACTGATTTTATATGCATGAGACAGATACACATCTCCACTGAGACACAGACTTGGGAAAAAAAAAAAAAAGGTTGTTTATTCCCAACCACAGACAAGTCTGTAATTAATTCCTTTTAACTTTAGTGAGAATGCTTTACACAAGGGAAACTAGGTCATGCAGTATAATGAAATGGCTAGAAGAAAATTAAACAGTAAGAGTTTACTCCCTGCATGCCCGTATCTACATTATAAATTTTCATATAAAGTCAGCAATTTGTATGTCCTCTCTGCAAAGGAGAAGTCAAGAAGTAAGCGACAGTTTAACCACGAGATCAGCTTCTATCAAAAAGCCACCAAAAAGGACAGACTGCCTTTTTCATTCTTGAATTTGACGGGGATGAGACCTCCATTTCTCAGCTTCTTATAACTCAAGTATATCTATTTACAAGCATTTTACCAGAATTACTATTTGCCTGTACAGATAACATAAGAACTACACTATCCATTACCAAAACTACCAGCAGGGCAGCAAAGCATGACTCTTTAGATCACAGCAATAGCATACAGTATTTTTGTAGTCACATGTTTATCTCTGCAGAAACAGAGTGCTCCCACCTCCCACCAGGCTTGAGAGAATCACTCTAAGACACCCTTTCTTTAACCCAGCACTCGCAAATGAGAAAGCCAGAGCACTGCTCCCCATGCTCTTACCTGCCCTGGGGTCAAACAGCTGTTTGGCCTCCAAGTCTGTGAAAGTACTGAAGCAAATGGGGCATTTAAAAGAGGCGCGATTGGTGGAGTCTCTCTCATCCGTCTCGATCCTCCTCCTCATGTGGTCCAGCTTGTACTTCACCACATTCACCAGCAGGCGGTAGTTGATGAAGTAGTAGTTATGGCGAGTGGTTTTTCCATCTGCAGCTGTCTCTACCCTCATCCTGCATTTGATGAACTTGTCACCCTTAAGGGTGTTGAGTACAGACCGCAACTGCTTCCGATCAAATTTAAGGAGCTCTAACATGTCCTCTTCCTTCACACAGGAGTTTCGGATGAGAATGTCCAGAGCCAAAGCGTGTTCGATGCCATAAAAGCCACGCACAACATACTTGGCGAGGCGCTTGAGAGCTGCAGGGACCTCAGTGAGGACGTCTGGGTCAGTCATAGCAGCTTCAGAGCTTGACCTTCATGTATCCTGTAACAAAACAAAACAAAAAAGGCACTTAACTTCTGAAGTCAGAAGACTAGTTTTATGCATCTTTTCTACAGCTAGGAAAAGGATGTGGCGCTTTCCATCCTTAGATCACAGAATCACAGAATCACAGAATTGTAGGGGTTGGAAGGGACCTCCAGAGATCATCGAGTCCAACCCCCCTGCCAAAGCAGGTTCCCTACAGCAGGTCGCACAGGTGGGCATCCAGGCAGGTCTTGAACATCTCCAGAGAAGGAGACTCCACCACCTCCCTGGGCAGCCTGTTCCAGTGCTCCGTCACCTCACTGTAAAGAAGTTCTTGTGCACATTTGTGCGGAACTTCCTATGCTGCAGTTTCCAGCCGTTTCCCCTTGTCCTGTCTCCAGTCACCACTGAAAACAGTCTGGCCTCGCCATTCTGCCCCCCACACCTTAGATATTTATAGACCTGGATCAGGTCCCCTCTCAGTCTCCTTTTCTCAAGGCTGAACAGACCCAGTTCACTCAGCCTTTCCTCATAGCAGAGATGCTCCAGGCCCTTCACCATCTTCGTGGCCCTCCGCTGGACTCTTTCCAAGAGATCCTTGTCTTTTTTGTACTGGGGTGCCCAGAACTGGACACAGTACTCCAGATGAGATGTTAATAATGTCAATGCAACAATTGTAGAATTAGGAACTGGTACCTCAAATTCATAACAAAATGGTGGAAAGCAATAGCACACAAACTGCTACCTTAACATTCAGACAGTTGCAGTTCTACTCAGAGCTGAAACAAGAAAGCTGTCCTGAATCTGAGCTCCAGCAGACAGCTTCCTCAGTGATGAAACTTTTACCTTGGTAGAAGCAGAAAAAGGCTACAAGAAGACAGGCCTTAAGACAGCCCACAAGAGTGGATGCAACAAGTGGATGTAACAAAGGGAAGCAACTCTTCATGTAGCACAAGGCAAAGGTTTACTGGCATTTCACAAGGTTTTGTGCATTTTCCCGCTGCTATTTCAAGCCTACGCTACCTCTATTTCAAGCCTATCTCTAGCCAAGAAAAGAATTTCCCTCCACTCAATCCACGTATATATGGGAGGTTCAAGGTAAGCATGAGTATTATAAGTGCTTTGGAAACACGCAGAGGTTTGTACCTCCAGTGAACATCAAATAAACTTTTGACTGGTCTATTTCAATAACAGCCTTTATTCTGCTTCAGGGTATGAATAACTATTTCTTATGGTTAAGCAAAAGGTTCCTCAAAAAGTTACAAAAAAAAAGAAAAGCCCAACATAACACATATGAAGTTGTTTGTTCTTCATTGCTAAGTAATTTTTATCTGTGAGCTAATGTCAAAAATAGTTAAATTCTGCCAATCTCACTTAGAGATTGTTAGATTTTTCCCACATTGAGCATGTCCCTCCCCAGCACTCGAGTCTTAAATAGAGAAAAGTGGGAAAAGACAGCAGAAGGAAGGATTTGGATGGGTGTCCTGTTTTTTATCCACCGTTATCATAAAACCCTTAATATCTTTTTTGACAAACAGTATTTTTACAGTACTTTTCCGTACTCCCCACGCCAATACACCCCCTGAAATTATCAAGCTCTATATGTTTACCCCCCAGCTGATGACTCACTTCCATCAGGTAAGACTGCTCAAAGCTTTGTTATCACTTAGCACAGTAACCCACTTGGATTTTATCTTTCATATGAAAAATGCTTCCCCCTCAGAAACCTTAAACACCATTAGTCATTGAAGCTTTACTTCTCTTTAACCCTCCCCTGCATTCCTCTCAAGGGTTACAGCCAGCACAACTACAAAGCAATTCAGCCTTGCACTGCGGTTTGTTGGTTTCATTTCTTGAATACAAAGGACATTCTTATTCTTTTAAAACATTTCCCCTCCTCAGCTCTCTCTCTTTCTCTGTCTTAAGGCCAAATATTATTCACAGTGCTCAAACTGAAAGGAACTGAACAAAATCTGTTGTCTGTTTGTTGGCAGGCAGAAGTGCTCATAGAAAACAGCGCCTGGATGTCCAGCTCCAACTTCCCTTCAAGGAAATGTAATTATGTTTATCCCAGCATGAATTAGCTACAAAGCAAGTATTTCTCAAGTCAGCCTTCTTCTGCACGCCTCACGCATAATGGCTACAGCCTCACAAAGGTCACTTTTAACAGAGCTTTGTGCTAAACTGGGTAAAGATAAAAGTGTTAGCAACAAAGGATGGTCCAGTATAAATTAGTCATACAGGACTGAAAACTCTTGCATAAAGAAACCAGAGTCCATGTGAATACAGTCCATGCAAATACATCCCTGAAAAATCTCTCTCATTCTGTTAGTATTTTCAACAATTTTACAATCCCTTACAGCTAAGCCTTGGTTTTGACTGAATCTGTTAGCAACATTTAGACACCATAAAACTGTGTCAACGTAGAATCTAGCCAGAAGCTTTATTCATTCAAGTTGAATAACTCTACTTACTCAGAGTGTTGCACTGTGCCTAAACTATTAAGATTGACTTGAAGTCACACCTGGCAACACAGAAATAAATTAAAAAGACAAACTTTGGAAGTTGAGACATTTCTAAGTGTTGATCCCAGAAACAAACAAACAAATCTCTATGAACTCTGTAATTCTAAGCAAGCACATCTCACTGTAGATATGTCACCTGAGAACTGATGGAAAGCATTTTATCTGCACCAATGTCACTGATTAGACAGCTGTAGAATTCTGCAGACATTCTCCAAACAAATCTAAGATACAATTTCCTGAATTATGCCTTATAAGTTTATATTCAGACCCACAAGACACTAATAAAAAAAAAAATCTTCTGTGAGAGTATGTAGAATCTTAAAATCATAGAACCATAGAATTACAAGGTTGGAAAGGACCTGCAAGATCATTTAGTCCTACCATCCTCCCATCATCATTGCTACCACAAGCACTGAATTGTATCTCGTAGCTCCTCATCCAAATGCCAGGGATGATGACTCCACCACCTCCCTGGGCAGCCATTCCAGTGCCTGACCACTCTCTGAGAGAAACAGTTCTTCCTTATGTCTAAGCTAAACCTCCTCTGGCACAACTTGTGGACATTTCCTCAGGTTCTGTTTGTTGCCTGGGAGAAGAGGCCAAACCCCTCCTCATCACAGCCTCCCTTCAGGAAGTTGTAGAGTGCAATAAGGTCTCCCCTGAGCCTCCTCTTCTCCAGACTGAACAATCCCAGCTCCCTCAGCCGCTTCTCATAGGATTTGTGCTCCAGTCCCTCACCAGTTTTGTTGCCCTTCTCTGAACACGTTCCAGAGCCTCAATGTCTTTCTTGTAGTGAGGGACATGGAAGAGATTTAATAAATTTTCTTAGTATCATGTGCTAGGATTCAAAACTCTTCATCAAGCAGCGCCAGGAGTTTGCATACAATTATTTATTCTCCCTTACTGGAGTTCCTAGTCACATTCAAATCCCCTTTATCCTCTCACCATACTGCGTATATCCTGCATGTAACACTGGTTTTCTGCCAGGCACAGATATATGGAAATACACGCATACTGGAAACACCACAAATCACTCTCCCATCAAACTTCCCTTCAAGTAGATGAGCCTTTGGGTGGAAAAAAATATGACTAGTGTCAGCTTTAAGGAAAAAAATAAAAGAAAGAGCCAAAGAACATCCTTGTCAAGGCCAAAATCTAGCACAGTTTCTCTAGGAGAAGCTGACATATTGGCACCCTACCACAAATAGTCCTAGGCTGCAGCACGAGCCCAACTCCTTGCTGTCTTTTATTAGCCAGGACAGGGTCCATCTTGCAAACAGTAATCCAATACCACAAGAATACAGTTATAAAATACAAAAGCAAAGGATTTTACCACTGTCTTCTTAAGCAGTGATTCTACATCCCATCGGAGCGCTGAAGTCAAACTTGAATTAATTACATGGGCAAAGAAATATGATAACATCTCCTAACAAGGTTTTAATGAACGTGCATCTGTTTCATAATAACATCTGTAATGCCTTTAATGTATGAACTTGAAGGGACACTATCTGGGAAGAAAAAAAAAACAAAAGAAAAGCAATGGCCAAGATAAAGCACTATGCAGTATGCACCTGCAGCATCCATAACAAAGCACACTAGGCAGGACAATGCTCTGGAACACCCAGTTTCTAAATCAAAACATGGCCTTGATTAAAAGACTACTGGGGAAAATGTTGTATTGGAATTGCATGAATACAATTCAGTATGATGGATATATGAAGAACACAGATGTATATGGTGCTACAGTCCTTCTGTAATAACATTTGTTTTTTGAAAAATCTGCTGGAAATAAAGGTGCACAGTTACACAAGATAATAAAATCTGTTGGATAAAGAAATGCAGGGAATAGGTTGCAAAACAGAAATCATACATAAGGTTGAATGAAATGCCCAAGACACAGGTCTTGAGCGTACCTACAGATATCAGAAAATTTCAGTTTCAGGTTTTAATATTTTTTATTTTGTTCAGAATACGAATTTTGGAGTATTAGGCAATGGTCTATTACTTGATTAGTTAACTCAAGTAATTCGCCATTAACTTTCCCTGTTCACTTTCTGTCTTCCTTGTATTCATGTTTGACGTTTTACAGAGTCCTTCACCTTTAAATATGGTTAAGTATGACGGGCTTTTAAGAGCCTCTATGCTCCACTGCCTCCTTCCAGTGGTCACTTGCAAACTTCAAACCTAGCTTTATAATATTTAACTCTAATGAAATGAATAATTGTCCTCAGGAAGATGATACGGTTGCGCCAACGGGAGTGACTCTGAACCTTCCTGAATACAAACAAGGGAGGAACAAAATGGGAATGGGAAAACTTGTCATCTAAACTTCAAATGGATGCACAAAGTAACGTTGGCCACTATCTCAAGTTTTGCCAGGAGAGGTTTAGGTTAGGCATCAGGAAGGTTTTCTTCACAGAGAGGGTGGGTGGGCAGGTATTGGAAGAGGCTGCCAGGGAAGTGGTTTAGTGCTGGGACTTGGTCAGTCAGGGTTATGGCTTATTCCTATATCTTTTACAACGAGAATGATTTTAGGATTTAAAAATGGCACCAGATCACAATCTGTGCAACATATCCTTATTATCTAGAACTGCCTTTATACCACATCATTTGCAAAACTCAAGTCTTTCAACATTTCATCAACAGCCTACTGAATTAATTCCTTTCCCTGTAAAATTCAGGAACACTGCCTGTATTTGATGTGAAATCATTCACTTTGTTTGCAAGAGTACCTGCCCTGAAGTATTACAGCAGAAAATGAAAAAAAAAAAAACAAAACAAGCTTGCTAGCACTAGAATCCTGTCTTCTTTTGGCATTCCTTAAACAGAAACCAAGTGGCTATAGGCCATCGGTACCTTTTTCTTCTTCTTAAAGTTCACTTCTTTTATTCACTCCTGCACAAAAAAAGGCTGAAAAGCTGTGAGAATCCTTCTTTATTTTTTTGGCTCAAACAAGCTTCCTGAGGTATTTCTTACGATAAGGCTCTAACTGATTTATTGAGGAGGCAAGCGATGGGTGCTACTGTGTGACAATCAACATCACTTTGAGGACAGTTGGAAAGCACCTTCCTCCAGAGCTGCTTGCCTCTGGAAAAAGAGTGCTCAGGAGTGTTTACTGGTAGAAGATCAGGGCCATGACTAAATAGCTTCAGCTCAGTATGGGAAAACTGGGGAACGATACCATCGTGTCCTGCAAAAAACAGGATGCAGGTGGGCATCCCTCTTATCTGCTGGCAAGGCCTGGAGGATGGGAACAAAGGAGTTTCTGCTGAGATCCCAGAGTCAGAAGCTGCACTCCAAGGAGAGCTGACTCGACCACTTTGGACTTATTTATAATTTGGTACTACCACTGAAAAGTTGTCATCACCATCAACAGAACACCGATTCCCAACGAATCACTACTACCGAAGATCAATGACTGAACTACGAACCATGCTGGATCCATGGTGGTGACTATCTCTTGCTTCCTACAAAGGCTCCTTGCTTCTATTTCCTATCTTTTCTACTGCTCTTCTCCCCTCCCCCATCTCCCTGATTAAGATTTGTAATAAACTGGTCAACCACCATTTGAACCACAGTTTCTTAGTCTCACACCAGGTATACAGATATCAAAGAACCTCCTCTCCCTCCTATAAATTGGAGAGAGACAAAAAGCCCAGCTGAAAATATGATGTTTTCACCTAATCTTCTCAGCAAAAATACAAGGAACTTCAACTAAGGCAACAGAGCCCAACCGTGCAAGCAGAAGCTTGAGAATTACATTCTGAGCCTGCAGTTGCCATCACATTCATGATTTAACCTCACATAACAATAGCAAGACATCAGTGAATTTAAGGACTACCTATATGTTTGTATGTATACATACACATATTCAAAAGTACATCAAAGGCATAGTAGCATTAACAAACTGTTCAGTTGTAGATGTATAAAAAAAAAGTGGAGTGTACCAGAGTGTACTATTTACTGAAGGTAAGACTTAGCATCTAAAATGGTGAAGATACAGATTCCTGTTACAGCTTAAGTTAAATTATTCCCTCATACAGAAAGAGATTTTCCTCTTCCTTTGCTGCCTGAAGCTACAATCCAACTCCCACCTTGTGCTGACTTCGGTGATTAGCCGTTTATGTAGCGACGTGAATCAAGCTGATAAAAAGTGAAAAACCAACACACATACACAAAAAAAAAAAAACCAACCCAAAAAATTATGGTATTTTCGATGCAGAGCAGTTCAAAGACCACATGACTTAAATTACTAGACTAAAGCATATGCAAAGCAGATAGAAGACAGCATGGTTAAGGATGTAGAAGAGTGAATCTTCCGCAGGTGGTAGCCAAAAGATACTCTAAGCAGGGACATCATTAGCTTATACAACATAAAGCATTCCTTGTGTGTATACTAGCAGAAGCACACTCATTATTTTTTAAGATTTCCCAGCTCTGGTCCACATTATCAAGTGACAATGTTTTTGTTTTTTTTCTCCTTCATTTTATGAAAAAAAAAAAAACCTTTTCTCAAAAATATCAAGCCTAAGAGATCGTGATTACACTTAGAGTACAATGGGCTTAACCCAGTGCTGCTGGTTAAACTTCAGGCTGGAAAGAAGCAGTAATTCCCTTTCATGATCTAGACTGAAAAGACCTGGTACATTATGCCTTTCACCAAGACAGATTACAAAAATGACAGACTCATAGAATGGCCTGGGTTGAAAAGGATCACAAAGATCATCTAGTTTCAACCCCCCTGCTATGTACAGGGTTGCCAACCACCAGACCAGGCTGCCCAGAGCCACATCCAGCCTGGCCCTGAATGCCTCCAGGGATGGGGCATCCACAACATAGGTCGGACTTTCAGGTATTCAGAAAAGTCTTAACAAAGTATATGAAAGTATTAGGCTCAGAAAAGTTTATCAGGGTGTATTAAGTAAATATATGCAAGCAACAGTAAGAAACAGATAAACTAAATAGCTGCAAGATAGGAGATTAGCTTTAATTCATCTGGCTTCTTGCTTTGAAGAACTTCCTGAGGCAGCCCCCATGAAAACGAACTGGAAGTAGCATCCTAAAGGGAGCGGTAGGTAAAACTTCCTTCGATCCTTATTACTGCCTTCTTCCAAGCACATGGTCCTGCCCTCTCCCGTGTCAGCTCTGGCACTCATGGTACTTTTCTGTGCATCAATTTAAATTACTAAAGACAGAAAAAAAGGCCTTTTTTTCAACAGTTTAGTCAATTGAGCCTGCTCATGGAAGACTATGATGAGCCCTAGAGCCAAAAGTGAGAGGGTGCCAGTGCAGGAAAGAGATGCTCAATTTTTTGTGGCTGAAAGATGCTAAATCACCTATACTTCATTAAATTGCACCCTAACAGTGCACTGCTGAACTCTCTCTTCATAACGCTGATCTTCCTTTATTCTGAGCCAACTGTGATGACAGAGGATTGACAGCCCACTGATTGATCAATTGAACAGCCTACCGAAAGATGAGACACTCATCAGCTCCCTTGGGAAGCATCAACCTCACGAAGTAAGAGGAAAACTACTGCACACAGAGAAAATAGTTTGCGAGCCTCTGAACTGGATGGCAGCAGAACCCAGGCTAAGGCATTGGTTAACACCTGCACAAGAGGGAGGTTAAGCACGTGCCTTTTGGTAGCAGCACCTTGCGGTCTCAAGGCACCAGGCTCGTCTGGCTGCAACCTGGATGTTTCAGCACGGCACATCCGAAGCCCCAACCCCACACGAGGAGCTGGGTTGGCCTCCTACACCGCCGTGGCAGCCCAGATCAGGACAGCACCCTTACGCCACGTGCACCGGCTCCTATGCTCTAACGGCTGTTACAAACGAGGTTTTCAACACCGGGTTCTGCGAGGCCCTCTGGGATGGGAGACTCGAGAGGCTGAACAGTATCATCAAAAAAAAAAAAAAAAAATTAGAAAAATGAAGCCACCACAGAGAACACAGGAAGCAAAGCTGGTGGCGGTTCAGAGCCCAGGCCGAAGCAGGGGAGAGGAGCAGCCCCTCAAGACGCGGTCAGCGCGGCTCCCGTGGGTGCTCCACACTAACCAGGCGGGGCCCCGACCACCCGGGCCCGGCTCCCGGCGCGCACCGCGGCAGGCCCCGCGCGAGGCCTGCCCGGGCCGGCACTGACCTGCCGCCGCTGCCAGCTCTCCCTCCCTCTCCGGGCGGTGCTTCCGGCCGCTCCGCCGCTTGCGTCAGCACTGCGCGCCGCTTGCGTCAGCGAGACGCCCGACCCTCTGCGCGAACCAATCGCGTCCTCCCAGAGCCCCAGATGGTCCCCGCCCAGGTGGGAGTTCGGCCAATAGAAAGCGAGCGCCGCGTCTCTCGCTCGAGCAGCCAGCGAATCGCTTGAGCGCACCGCGAGAAGGCTGGTACGCGCGGGAGCTGTTGCTAGGTAGACTAAGATGGCGGCTCTGGATAGGGTCAAGGTGCTGGTGTTGGGCGACTCCGGTGAGTGCGTGCCCCTCTCCCCTCCCCCAGCACGATGCAGGATGCGCGCGCGCACAGCGCGGGGCTGAGGCGCCCCCCTTCTCTCCCGTGCCCCCCACCCGCAGCCGGGGCGCATGCGCAGTGAGCCGCTGCCTGAGTGGAAGAATCCCCGCAAGACCCGGCCGCTGGGTTTTTAAGAGTTGGCCGTTAACCGCCGCTCTGGGGCTGATTGTCCCGGTCCCCGTTGGTCCCTTTGTCGTGCGGTAGCCAGGTTAACCGACATTGTCCTCTATGTGCCTTTGCAGGTGTCGGAAAGTCTTCTCTCGTGCACCTCCTGTGCCACAACCAGGTGCTGGGAAACCCGTCCTGGACGGTGGGCTGCTCGGTGGATGTGCGAGTAGGTGCTGGGCTGCCAAATGCTCTGGGGAAAAATTGGTACCTCGTTGTAGAAGCACAGAAATCACTAAGGCTGGAAAAAAAACAACACTAAGATCATCTAGTCTAACCCCCAACCCATCCCCACCACACCCACTAACCACATTCCTCAGTGCCATCCATACGGTTCTTGATCACCTCCAGGACAGTAACTGCATCACCTCCCTGGGCAGCTGTGCCACTGCCTCACCACTCCTTCTGAGATGAAATGTTTCCTATTATCCCTCTTGAACCTCCCCTCTGGTGCAATTTAAGGCCATTCCCTCTCACCTTGAGCTTGAGGGTACTCGGTGTGATGTCTCCCTTCCTGCTCATTGCAGAGGATGAGGTTATCCACTGACTCCCTGGGTGCAATCCTCACAGCACAGTGATGAACGCTTTCATCAGTTTTTCCTGCATTTTCTGATATCCTAACTGTCCACCCAGTCTTTTTCCACTTGAGAGATTTGAAATTGCTGCCACTGTTAAAATTTGCAATTTTCTGTCCAAGTGCTGTAGTCCTTTGAGCTGTATTGTACAGATTAACGCCCAGAAACTGATGCTGTGATTGTGTATGATATGAATTTTCCATTAGATCCATGACTACAAAGAAGGGACTCCAGAAGAGAAGACGTACTATATTGAGCTGTGGGATGTTGGAGGTTCAGTGGGTAGTGCCACTAGTGTGAAAAGCACAAGAGCAGTATTTTATAACTCACTGAATGGTAAGTTTGCTTGGTATCAATCTCTTTTTGTCACTTGTTTCTGTTGAGAGCTCTCTTGGTTCTGGAGCAGGACTCCTTTAAGGCTAGATGAGGACTGTTCCATTCTCTTTTCTGATTCCAGCATATTTATAAAGAAAAGAAAAAAATCAAAAAAACTAGCATTCTTAGAATTTTATGGATTCAATTTTGAACTGGGAAGGTATTTTAGGCAAACCTGTACAAATGAGCTTCATCAGCCTTCCCCTTCAGTCTCATGCAGCTAGCGCAATGAGGAATCTTTGCAGTGTTCCAGTGATGTCCTTTTCAGCTATGCATGCAGACATAAAAGGCTGCCATTACCTCTCCAGGCCTGATGTATGTGCAGATATACAATTTATATTTTCATGTCTGTCTAGTTCCAAAACCTACAGTGCAGAAATAGCTATTTGAATTTATAAATGTGAACCTGAAATTATGGTATGATCTTTGATAGTTATATCCCACTATGACAAACTTGAACTCTTCTCCCATAAAATTGCAATATTCTGATAACCATCTTGCCTTCTGCTCATTTAATTTGTCAAGTGATTTGTAGTAGTTGAATCTGCAACTTGCAAGATTGGTGGAAAGTTACATTTTATGCCATTTGAAAGGATGGCATCTGTTCCCTTGAGATACTGGCTTAAAGATCTGGTGGTTCATCCGTATCACTAAGGTAGCAAATAAGAGATTGCATTTCGGTTATTACTTTTTTGGCATCCAAGGATAGTTCACTGAAAATATATATATACCTGATTAACATCTGCTTATGAATCTCTCTCACTTTGACTCTTGTTTCTTGCTCCTCGTCATTTGAGAGCCTTCAGTAATGTTTTAAGCTATATAGTAAGCAGTTTTTTGCTCTGTGATTGTTTAATCAGTTATTTCTTTCCCCTTTCCAAAGGGATAACTGTATGCAGGTATCTCTTGCTTGTACTGTTAGCCAGACATCCCTAAATAAGATTTGATTTGAGCTGTGTCCTCAAAGCAAGGGCCTCAAAATAAGCTTCTAATGTACATGAAAAAAAATGAGTTCTTTTTGACGCTTAACTTGCAGGCATGCCAGCCTGTATAGGTCAGACTTGGAAATATCCTAAAACAGCACATTAGGTGATGAAATTTCAAAGTTAAGTATGTTATAATCGATGAAGTTATTAAAATAAAACTATTAATATTTACTGCCCAAATGATATAACTAGCCAGCTTGCATATGAAAACTGTTGGCTTTGGTAGTTAGCCTTGGCACTGTTGTGGTTTTTGGGTTGTTGGGGTTTTTTTCATTAAACAAATTCCATTGCTAGAGCTTGTCTCACAGATTGCTTCTCACCTGATGTAAGAAGAGAAGATTAATGCATTCCTTCTGCCTGACTGCTTCACCTTATTGAGCTTCAAAAGACAGTTGGTGTTTGGTTGCTGGCTTTCAGGGAGACCTGGGTACTTTGAAGCTTGATACAGTTTACTCTTTAGTCTACCTTAGCTCTTCAGCTTGGTTGTTCCTGCATCTGATGTGTGGATTGTGATAGTCTAGGACAGTGAACAGGCAGCAAGGCCGTGACTTGCAGACATTTTGTGGGAGGAACTTTTCCTTGAGTGGTCATTGGTCCTACTCGCTCTTTTTTGATGTTGTCTTCTCTGCTGGTGCAGCTTTCTGTGTAGGCTTTCAGTGAAGCAGAGAAGGGAACCAACCTATCAAAAACATGGCTAGGGAAGAGTGTCTGGAGGTTGAGTATGTTTCTCACAGATTATGCAGCAGTGCCTATGAATCTGTTGACACAGGCCAAGTTATATTGTGCCATGCTTTTTCTCCCTACGCTAGAGGTGGGCAGACGGTTGAGTTGTCTTTTCCTGCAATTACTAAGATAAGTGCTTTGAAATAAGGATATGGTTGTGACATGATGGGAAATCTCATAGCACTGAGTCTATGTGCACAGTAATGTGAGGTGGTGGAGAATGTGTTTGTTCTTAGTGTGTACAGTGGGTGGCATCTTTAGGAATTAAGGTAAAAGATAAAATGACTAGTATTCTACACCTATGTGCTGTTAAATGTGTTTAAAACAAATCCTGATAAGGATATTATGCCATTTGGTCCTTGAATTAATTACGATTTAAAGTCTGGAGGAAGTGGGAACATTCCACAGGTTTCAGAAGGTGTGAATAAATAGAAGAAATTTGCTAGCAGGAATTGGTAATGGAGTTAGGAACTGTGGTTATCAGAAGTGGGTGTCTGTTAATAGCACTGCTAGGAAGTTTGGCTGGCAATTTTCCTTTCTCTGATTTTACGTTGTGAAAGATGATAGTGATGAAAAATGCTGGAAGCTTAAATACATGAAATCGTATTCATTCATATTTCTACCAGCCATTTAGTGGACTGTAAAAGTCTGTGAGTTTCTCTTGTGGATACCTCCCCAAGCACTTGGCATCAGTTCTTGAAAATGCAGGAAAGCAATAGCGCTGTGTAAACCCTTCAAAACAGAGGAAGAACCTTTGGACTTCTCAGATGGTGTGACCAAAAAAATGGTTACATTTACTAATTAGGCAAAGCAGAAAAAGGATGACTTCTCTGCTGCAGCAATCGAGTTTCTGTATCCTTAAGACTAGGCAGAGCAGAATCAGAGAATGTATGCAAGCCACTTGCAGATTAAATCCTGAGGTGGCTGTTCTTTTCCCTTTTTTGTGAGATTTTCTTTTTGTTCTTATCCAATTCCTGATAAGCAACTTTAGGGAAAAAAAAAAAAAACAAAAACCCAGCAACTGTTGCATCGCAATATTTTCTGGTTTTCTTATTTACTGTAACCAAACTGGTTATATTTCCCTTTCCTCATTGTTAGACATCTGGGGACCTGCAGATGTCATTTTGTGAAGATAAGAAAAAGACACACATCATTAAATAACATCTTGCTGCCTACTCTTTCACTTTAGGGATAATTTTAGTGCATGACTTAACCAACAAGAAATCATCCCAGAATTTATATCGCTGGTCTTTGGAAGCACTCAACAGAGATGTCGCTCCAACAGGAGTTCTGGTGACAAACGGGTGAGTGGAAAACACACAGTATGTGCACAGTAATTCTAAGCTGCTGTGGGAGTCTTCGTTCATCCCAAAGTGTGAAAACCACACAAAATTAGATGTGGCTGGAATTTAAAGAAAGAAATAAAAAATGAGGACATACCAAAGAAAATCACTGGAGTTTTCTTTTTGCATTGCTGATGAGGCCATTCTCTCAGTAGATTCCCAAACTGCATAGAAGAGACCTTGCTTTAAGGGAAAAGGTGTTTACCGTGCCCTTTATTTGCCTGAGGCCTCTGTCTGTGTTCATTCCCTGATACCTGAAGAGACGCAAAGCCCTTGTACAGTAAGTGTCATGGAATGGCATGACTCTGTTTGGAAGGGCTTCCCCTGAATGCACCAAGAC